ATACATCATAAGTAGAGGCTTTAAAGAAAATCACACTTTAATATAAAGTTGTTCTAAACATATTCAACGCAAGCATTCGTAAAGTTTATTGATGTGTTTTAGATTATGATACATGTAATATACTTTTCATATACTTATTTGATAAGAAATGTGACCTAAGCTTCATCCTAACATTTTGTTTTTTGGCGAACTCTTTTTACAGGTTGTGTAGGCAACTGGAAGTCTTATTTCACCGTAGCACAGAGCGAAAGGTTTGATGCTCTTTACGACAAGTATATGAAAGAACACGGAATCGATCTTTCCTACCAATGATGAATATGAGACTATCATGTACACGATGTAACCTGACTCTACCATCAGACATTTAAGTTTTATTCAATATTTGACACATGTCTGCACAGGATGCAATATAGCTAAATTCATAGTATTTTCTATTTCTTTTTCAAAGTAGTATGTTAATGGCGACAGCGTACCGATAGGAAGCGCAATAAAGTCAATTGTTTTGCTGCCATTCTCACAATCTGGTTCCACTGGTAATCCCATTGGCAAAATAAGAATGTGTAAATGACATTTTAGTGGGAAACTAGTAACAAGAAGCATTATTAGTATTAGCGAAGATGACGTATTTTAATGTAATACAGCATTCGAAAAAGTGACGCGCCTCTGATGGTCAAAACTGAGCGTCACTGACGAGATATAAAAGAACAAAACAGATGTAAAATTCAGTTTGATTAATGATTTAGTTTTACTAGTACTTTATCTAATTGTTTTGTAAGAAAGGTTGCTTTTCATTTGTTTATCTTTGCACAATCTTTTATTACTAGGGCGGTTTGACCTTTTATTTCTTCAATTTCCGTAATTGTCGTTGGTCGTTTAGATGCAATTATATTACACAATTGTGCTCATCAAAATCGGCAAAACAATAGGTATGTTGAACCAAATGGGACAAATATCTAATCCTGTTCGGAGTTTACTAAGCATCCGGTTACGTACATTGATTGATGTTTTAGGTACATGACCGTATATGTATCAGACTTGACATTCGAATGATAGATGACAATTTCACAACTAAGATTTAAGAAGAATAAATCCTACATACAAGCTAACAAGAAAAATTAACATTTTATTGTCTCCGATATATGTGTGTATCATACAACAATGAATAGTTCATCACAAAATAACAGAAAGAAATATTACTTTATAGTATAAATTGTGTACACTCGTCTATATTCTTAAAAGTTCCACCAACATTTTTTGTAAGATTGTTTTGTTCTCCGATGGACAGCAATAGAGCAATGGGTTGAATTGCTGATAAGATAACACATATGATAACAGTACAAGTTTAGTTTTATATTTATTGTATTATTTTTCATATTCCATTATCTAGAAGCATGTATAAGGTTAGTACTAACAAGAAAACGCATTTTATTGTCCTTTGATATATAAGCAGTAATGAAAAGAAACACAGCAATAAATTGAATTAGAACTTATGAAAATATTTTCGTGTTTCATTTGATTTGGAGTTTAAACAGGTGTCCTTCATTATATTAAAACATTAAGAAACATTAATCCTGCAATGTTGTTGAACCAGTTTGTCAAACCATTCAGTGAATCTTGGAGATAAAAGAGGTATTATTTTTCCTTATCTTATTGATTTCATATTGACATGACTGAGAATTATATTTTTCCAAACGATAACTGTAATCCAACTATTGTTCGCGACTATTTCGTATTTTCACTCTCTTAAACAAGTTCGTGGCTTTTGAATTTTGATATTGATATTCGATCCTTATTCCGTAATTCTTCTTTTCAACTAGAAAAACAAGTTCTTGGCTTTTGAATTTTGATATTGACATTCGATCCTTATTCCGTAATTCTTCTTTTCAACTAGAAAAACAAGATCTTGGGTGATTTTTGGTATGATCATTCAGGTGAGTTGTTAACGTGCCTCATTAAAGAAAACATTTTTTCTTTGAATGCATACATTTGAGAACAGGCACAGCAAAAGAAAGGTATAAGATAATGGTGTAAATTTGCGTATTAACTGTGTCTAACTTTTAATTAATGCCGTTGTCAATATGCTTACTCTAAGTAAAACCTCGGACTGGAGACTAATGTAAGAATACATGTAAACCTGTAAGAACACCTATATATAAGAATGGTAATCCTAATCCTAGAAATCAAAGAACGTACCGGTTATCACTTGAGAAGAGTGAAAGCCTTTGACACCAGTTAAATGAACTTTTGTCTCATATTAAAACAATTCTGCATAAATGTTTATAAAGTTCCTTCTGCATCTCGTCATAAAAGATTAATTTAATACCAGTCAATACCAGTTTGCTGTAACTTGGGACACAAACGCAGTAGTTTCAATATGCTATTCCAAACCTTCAAGAACTTACAGAATCATGCAGCGCAAGCATACTATAATCATCTTTACAGAAATATCAAAGGAAAATTTCTTTAATTATTGTGCCCTTCTTGGATACAATTTTGTTGGGTAATCCTCATTTTATCGTAAACCTTATATGAAATATCGTTAGACAGGTGCAGTCCTTCACTAAGACTAGGAACGGATTTTTATTTTGATAGTAATAATCATTGTAGATATACAATGTATGAAACTTCCCATTATAGTAATAGTTTCAACGATTATATAAATGTATATATCAGGTGCCTCATCTCTTTACCGTTTACCGTCTTTGTTATTGTCAGAATTATCGAATTCCTCAAAATTATAAAACATTCATTTGAAACCTAACGTTGCATAGCATAGCTATTCTATCCATGGCGGCCGATACCAGTCGTTAAACTTGTGACATCAAAGCCGATAAGGTCCCATTCAGCGCGAATCATCCTTAGGCTGCTTAGTAATGGAAGGACAGGTGAAAATCATACACTTTACACGTCAATTATTTTGGTGCGGTTTTCAACCTATTTGATTTTTAATCACAAAAACAGCTCTATATTTATTTCTTTTTTCACTAAAGGTACACTTTAAAACTCTTGCGCCGGTACAATATAGTATCGTTACTGGAAATGATACCCCAACGTTAGAGCTTTACCGTGATCTATGGTGTTGATCCCAAAATTGATTCGCTACGTATTCTCTTCCGAAGCTAGTTTTCCCCCATTAGTGATTATGTTAAGAGCTGTCTGTAATCATTGCCATGAAATATGATCAAGATCTCAACCAAATCTTCAATTACCAAGATTTCATGAGCTCCGTTCGAAGTGTAACAAATATATTGATATTGGTCAATACCGATATCTACCATGACTGCAGTCAAACTGTTCCCCAGACACTTATTTGTGTTATGCATTTCCAGCAAAGACGTATCAGCTGTGTCGCAGTGCTTATTGTCTCTATACACTCGGCTTGAATTTTGTGACTCCTTGGTGAATAAACAAACACTGAGTTAATGTCACAGACGACTTCTTTCTATTTCATAACAATTTACGGCAGCCTTTGTCAAACACAGCTTTGAATCAGATGAACGTCTTCATCGAACCCCTGCAGAACGCCTGACACCCGTGATATTTCATGAGGAAACTTGGGAGAACTGTTTTATGGTTAAAGACACTAGTTTTGCTCTCTGGACTGGTGCTGCAGCTAATTTATCTGGATTTGCTACAGGTTCTCACTCACACGTACAAATATGCTCACAATTGTTTAGAAATCTCACAAATGCAGGAGAAAATGAATATTAAAGCACACCAAGTAACAAGCATTGTGTGTATTCTTCAACACAACCAATCGGAAAGGTTAAGAACTTCAAACCAATATATTGTGGTATATATACTTTTGCTTTTTGATATATATTTTATTTTTTTCCTGTAAAATTAAATACTTTTTTTCAAATCTATTCTCGTTTGTTGACTCATGGATTTTATTTCCTTCAGTGCTTTATTGTTAGAATTTATAACATATAGTTGCATAACGGCAGTTTAGATAATTGGTACAGGCTAAAAAAGTGGGACCATTCAACAGAGTTTCGAGAGATGTTGGATGATGGACTCTGTAGGGAGGTTGAAAAATGACATTATAATATAGGGCGACCAGTAAATTTTCATGATGTAAAATTGGAAGTTTTGCATGAGCACCGCTCTTTAGCATGTCTGTTGGTTCCGTTGTCACGTGTCTTGTTCCTCATCAGAACGTGATCCGTTGCGGGGAGATGCTTCAGCTACTATTTTTCAAAGGTCTCGTGAAATTAGGTTCTTTATTCATATGGGTTGGTTAATACAATGATACAATGATATATCTAATTTTCATTATGCGAGAGATTGAGGCATAATTTGGATTTTTTTTTCAAATTAAATATGATTTTCGAAACGAAACTAATACATTGTAATCATATTTTAAAAAACCGCTTATACGGCGAATATATTGTATTTTGTATGACAAGGTTTCTTTTTGGGCGAGAGTTAGAAAAGACAAGATTGAGAAATTTTCGTCTCTCTGTACCGAGTTAAAATGATTCTCGTATTGTAAGATACTAGAAATGTATTCTGTTTATCCCGAAACTCATAAACACTGATATTCACATCATAGGGACCATTGGTATATCCATCCGTAAAACTGAATGCTTCTTTCGGAAATGTAAAGGCGCAATTGGTAGACAGCTCTACTCTTTTTATGATCATAGAGAGTTCTCTCATTCATACCTGTATGTTGTATGGAAATATCACAAAAAATCACTTTATATCTGATAATCAACTGTTTATAGTTATAATACATTCATCAGCCAAACAAGGAATGCGTTATGTGTTTGTCAGTACACACATGAGTTAAGTGTTACAAATACTCAGGTGCATCATAAACTAAAACCATTTACATGGGAGTACCGTGTACATACTATCTATATAGACTACATGCATTTGCACCATACAACTTTAATATGCATGATGTAAATGAAATTTAAGTGAGATGTTTGCTCGGGTAACAGCGCAGTACGGAGGCAGAATATGTGACATTTTTCGCTACATAATGGATCTAAATATACCGGATATTCACAGTGAGCGGATAACACATTTGAATAACGTTTTTGCGTTATTTCAGAAATAATTAAAGATGGCCCGTACATTTTCATGTCCACAAGTCTGAATAATGTAAATCGGAGGCATCCAGGAATCATGGAATATCTGAACCGGATGTCATTATCGTGCTAGGATTCTTAGATAATCAACGTTAAACATATTTGTTTAAACATCCCCAAGAAACCCGTTGATTATACGACAGTATGATCGTCTTGGTATGTCGGCTTACTGGGAAAGCAACCGAGGTTCGCAAGAAAACGTTGTCTGAAGTTCCCTTGTTTCTCACAGAGGATGACCCTGTAATCGACTTTGTTTTCTGCTGGTTGCCAGTCTGGTGTTGGATTCGTCGACTGACGTAGTTTCTATAACGAAATGTCAGTAATCGTTATGTTTTATAAGACGGATTTATAAATCAATGTTGCGGTACATTTTAAACACTTTACATACATTTCTAATTCTTAGTAAACTAGAACTTGTAGTCGAGTTTAAGATTGCCGTTACCGTCTTTTGACGTCATTTAAGCATGAAACATAATGTATTGTTTACCTGTAAAGCTCTGACATTAATAACACATAAATAGTAATAGCGAAAAACAAAAAATAAGATATTATCTTACTTGAAACAGTGTTTCCCCTGGAGAGTCGAAGATGACTTTGATGCCTACAGCTATAAACGGTAATGCAGGTAGAATGGCGTATGTCCAGCCTGCTCCAGACACCCAGTCAGGGTATACATAGTCCCCATATGTCGGTGGTACATATGATACAAATCCAGCCATCATTACCACCTATATGTAAAAATTAACTTTTTATTATAGTAACATTTATTGTAATTGAATGACAACTTAATATACAAGATTTAAAATTTATATATTTATTCTCAAGTGGGACGTTTAAAAATGTATCCTTATCATATCTGATCTTGAAAATTGATTTAATTACAATAAACACATGGGCATTATAAGAAGTAAAATCAGTATAAATGACTATTTGGCGATCAATAGAAATTTTTAAGGGAAGTCAGTTACACGATACTCATTGCTGGTACCGATAGACTGATATAAAGTATTCGTTTGTCTTCATTCCTATTGAGCACATTCAAGTATACAGCATTGTTAAGGGTTATGCGGGGGAAACATAAAAGGACACAACAGTTATGTTCAGCAAAACCGTGCGAATTCCTATGTCAATGGAAACAAATAGCAGCTAATGTTAGACCGTGCTAAAACTTTTATTTTGTCCAAATAACTGTTGATTTTATGTGAAGTCCGTGCTGAAATCTTTCTTTTTAACCTAAAGAACAGTTGGGGCTATGTGAAGATCGGCCAAACAAATTGTATTTGGACCAAACAGCAGCTAATGTGAAGACCAGGTTTACCCATTTGTCAAGGTCTTTTGTAAAACATTACCCAAGATACCATAAGCTACTTAAAGTGTTTTGTTGCAGCTTTCAGAAAAAAAAATCATATGGCTTGTTTCGAAAACAAGATCGTCAAATCATCTGTTGGCCAATTGAAAGACATAATTGACCAACGCGTTTTTTAACAAAGGAAACTCAGAAATCAGGTTGTGCAATTATCATGAAGGTACACAAGCCTAAAAAAATTGCATACATATATTGGAAACATTACACCTCAAATGGAAATTATTTTAGTTGATAAAAAAAAACGCGTACAAATAAGACAAGAGGCGAGAGGGAACACCAACAAAATTTGATATATCCAGGTACTCTTCTTCCGATCATCAATTCCACGTCCGTAGAGAACCTCTCAGCACCTGGGAAGGAGATCATCGAGTAATGTCATATGTTTGTTTGATTTCTATTTTCATTTTTATTTCAACGAATTTAATTGTGTAAACAAAACAATGGACAACAGGCCTTGCCCTTAATAGTCCGCCTCCAGCTGAAGATACAAATAAACAATAAAAAATACATTAGGTAGAATGGCGTATGTCCAGCCTGCTCCAGACACCCAGTCAGGGTATACATAGTCCCCATATGTCGGTGGTACATATGATACAAATCCAGCCATCATTACCACCTATATGTAAAAATTAACTTTTTATTATAGTAACATTTATTGTAATTGAATGACAACTTAATATACAAGATTTAAAATTTATATATTTATTCTCAAGTGGGACGTTTAAAAATGTATCCTTATCATATTTGATCTTGAAAATTGATTTAATTACAATAAACACATGGGCATTATAAGAAGTAAAATCAGTATAAATGACTATTTGGCGATCAATAGAAATTTTTAAGGGAATACTCATTGCTGGTACCGATAGACTGATATAAAGTATTCGTTTGTCTTCATTCCTATTGAGCACATTCAAGTATACAGCATTGTTAAGGGTTATGCGGGGGAAACATAAAAGGACACAACAGTTATGTTCAGCAAAACCGTGCGAATTCATATGCCAATGGAAACAAATAGCAGCTAATGTTAGACCGTGCTAAAACTTTTATTTTGTCCAAATAACTGTTGATTTTATGTGAAGTCCGTGCTGAAATCTTTCTTTTTAACCTAAAGAACAGTTGGGGCTGTGTGAAGATCGGCCAAACAAATTGTATTTGGACCAAACAGCAGCTAATGTGAAGACCAGGTTTACCCATTTGTCAAGGTCTTTTGTAAAACATTACCCAAGATACCATAAGTGTTTTGTTGCAGCTTTCAGAAAAAAAAATCATATGGCTTGTTTCGAAAACAAGATCGTCAAATCATCTGTTGGCCAATTGAAAGACATAATTGACCAACGCGTTTTTTAACAAAGGAAACTCAGAAATCAGGTTGTGCAATTATCATGAAGGTACACAAGCCTAAAAAAATTGCATACATATATTGGAAACATTACACCTCAAATGGAAATGATTTTAGTTGATAAAAAAAAACGCGTACAAATAAGACAAGAGGCGAGAGGGAACACCAACAAAATTTGATATATCCAGGTACTCTTCTTCCGATCATCAATTCCACGTCCGTAGAGAACCTCTCAGCACCTGGGAAGGAGATCATCGAGTAGCGTTATATGTTTGTTTGATTTCTATTTTCATTTTTATTTCAACGAATTTAATTGTGTAAACAAAACCATGGACAACAAGCCTTGCCCTTAATAGTCCGCCTCCAGCTGAAGATACAAATAAACAATAAAAAATACAATTATTAACATACAAATTACAAAAAACAAAATTACTTGATTTATATCATACATTTTTGTACTGAAAGTTAAATTGCTCAATGATATTCATTGTACCATTCTAATCATCCAGGGGAGGTAAATCCGATATCAAAATCACCATAAAGAATATCAGTGTTACATAGCTAGAATCCAAAGATTCTACCGAGGATCAACATCTCTACGGTCCATACTACTGACATGGATCGTTTCTCCCGGGTCCTTATTGAATTTCAACCATGCAGCATTCATTCACATCATTCATCGATTATCTATAGATTAAAATTCTATCATTTGAATATTTTTAACATATTTGATAAATCGTTTTTGTTTTTTGTTTGTTTGTTCTTGTTTTTGGTTTTTTGTTTTTGTATTCGTGTTGCAGTTACAGTGAAATGAGTAATTACATATCGTTAACATATTACATAAGAATCATCCTATTGTCAAAATGAATTTTTATGAATATTTGCATTGAGGTTATCATCGAATTGCCAACTACCATGAAAACTCTAATGCAAGTGATATTCATACTAAATAGAGTTGATAGTATGGGTACACTAAGAAGGGATGACAGATATTCACAATTACATATCATTTTTCAACTGACGTATTATATAAATGTTCCTTTGCCTGATTTTTCTGAACATTTGGTTTTACAAATGTCTAGTTGACTCTGATGTATTGATTAATTCGAAACTTTTTCATTTGGGATAATGATGTAATGTTTGCAAGAAAGAAATCAGATTAATAAAATGTATTTAGCGTAAAAGGTTAATAACTATCAATATGATTTTCTGTTAGGTATAATGATTGATTAGAAATTCCATGTTTCCTGGGAGGATGTATTAAATCCGTAACACCATTAATAAAAGAACTTTCAACATCCCTTAAATAAGATGGGGAGTTTAATGTGTAATATTGAATGCTTTATTATTTTCTAATGCGATGTCTCCTCCGTAAACAGTTAAATACTCTTTCTGCGTATAAGTGTATAGATTTTAAAAATGTTTATCTTCATTATCAAAGTTATCCAAAAATACATTAATATGTTCCGGAGTTGGTCTTATACAAGATGTAAACATAGTAATAAAAGATTTTATATTTAATGAATTTCTCAAGTCTATTTTTCAATGTTGTTGATTCCTTATCACAGTTTTTAAGCACACGGGTTACCTACTTTCTATTTTGAGTTAAAGTGATGTTTCTAGAATTAGTTACATTTGTTCGTGATTCATTTTGAAAGGGAATATGCAAATAAAATGGGTCTTTTTCTAGTGCAAATAGGAATTTAAGTGTCAGATTCAAAGCTCACTTAAATCCCACAATAAATGGGGTTTGCTCTTACTTCTACTTTTTGCTGGCATGCTAGCGCAAATATAATCAAAATGGGTTTAGAAGATAAATTGATGGAAAACAGTCATTAAAACAAATCCCGTGAACTTGCAAATCGTTTCTGCAAACAAAACTTTTCAAGTTCGACTTTCACATCGTCTGTAACAAAAATGGAATATATGTATAAATCGTCTCCCAAAAACGAAAAACGTACCGTAAACCCAGGCTACCGTGATGCACTCTATTGATGTAAAGAACATCGGAGCAAAGGTATAGATATACCAGTCAGCCAGCTGGAAAAGGAACACGCCACCCTAAAAGAAAGTAGTATCTTAACATGATTCCTACTAAATTTCTTTTATCATTGCTTTACAACAAACGCCTGTCAGAACATATATATCACAAATAAATAAAATAAATAATATGACATGATATAAATGAACTGATAAAAACTGCTATAATTGATATTCGCTTATATGTTATTGCTACTCATAATATAATTTGTTTTAAAGAACGTGGATTTTCTGCTTTTACCTATTGGACATCACGAATCTTCATTCAGTTTATCTATCTGCGTAGTTGATACTGTAACTTATTATTTCCCGTATATTCTTATATATGTATATATTTCAGAAAACAAACGCAAACATACCTGTGTACAGAAAGGTAATGATAGTAGCACGCATATTGACGAGAGAGCTATTCTTGATATTGTTTGTCTCTTTTTCAAGAAAGGGAAGCAATCTTCAAAAAAGTCAAATTCAGCTTCAATAAGCCCAAACTGAAATATAATGAACAAGAAGGTTTATTGCCATGGCCCAATCTAAAACTGCTGAAAAGATGTGAAAAATGATCTTGGCTTTAAAAGAAAGAAGAAATAATAGAAAACACAAATGATAAATGAAGGCCATTTTGACTGGTGCCCTATTCATGCCTTAAACTAGGCATCTATGGGGACAAATCGTCTAGCCATGAATAATGTAAAGATTGTTAAGTCAGTGGGAGTGTGGGGTACGGGGTGGTTATTGTTTATGATCAGTTTTAGATAAAAGAAAAACGTAAAATTTGATAGATGAAAGCATTGCCCATTTCATGAATATCATAAAATATACCGCATTCTTTTTGGTTTAAACTTTTGTTAAGAACCTCCTACCTACCTCCCCATTTTCAGAGAAATAAAGAAAAAGAAAAAGAAACTACAATTTAACCAATATACTTGTTTTACCGGTACGCCATCACAACATATACATATAATGATCCTAATATTTTACCATACATCTTTTCACATGTACAGAATAGTAATAATATTATTGCTAACATCTTACCATAGTGTCCAATCCCAGCGTTACCATAGTTGTAAAAAACAATACTGCCCAGACGTTGGATACAGGCATCTGTGAAACAGCCATGGGGTAAGCCACAAAACCTAAGCCTGGACCTAATGACAGAAATGACAGAAGCAATCGTTGTTTTATTATTATTGATTCTAGATAAATATTGTATAAGGAATTATTGTCTTTTTAATATTTTACGTGTTTGACAATAGAATGTTACAAAAAATATTGATTCAATTTTGAAAAAGAAGTCGTTCTAAATCTTTATGTAAAGTGCAAGTAAATGGTATATTAGATAAGAAAAACTATCAAATATCTTAAAATATCTGAATGATTTAACTTCCAACACTTACCGGATTTTGAAACTTCTGTAATAGGCAGATTTGCCTGATGGGCCATAAAACCTAGCGCAGAGAATATAACAAACCCACCAAACACACTGGTAGCCTGGTTTGCTAATGTAAGAATGAAGGCATCCCTACAATAGAGCGCAAAAACCACGCTTAATATAAATAAGGAGTCAATCTCGGCATTTGAAATGTTTGTTATACAAGGAAAAAACATGTGGAAGTTGTATGAGAATCAGGTCATGGGTTTGTTATTAATACTGCAATCAACAGAAAACGCAACCATGAAAAAACAATTAATGCAGTTGAATTTTACCTTTGACTTTCCGACCGTGTGGTCATGGGTGTTTAAACTGTGGAAAATGGAAAACTAATACCGTGAAAAAGGTCCATTATCAATAACAAATCAAAAATATAATTTCATAACAATTTACCTGGTACTTCTGAATAAGATAATGTTACATGCAATTTTTACCTATCTCTCAGAAAGGTGAGAAATTAAAATGAGTCTTCTTTGATACATGTGGTCTAAATGTTTTAGCGATATGTCAATTGATCGGCTGTTATTAAAGTCTTATATCCTGTCACTCGTCACTATATGGCCTAAAACAAAAATAGAAAGATGTTTGGGAACATTTCATTCGACGACAACCGCCACGTAAACCGAGGTCAATGTCAAGTTCTCGAATGAGATCTGTGTTGAAACAATGGAACCAACAGGTTGACAAACGTAAGTTAGTTTAAAGGTACGTAACCTGCTAACAATATAATATACATGTGGTGTCATTTGTTGCTAAGTTGCATTTCATTGAGTGATAGAATTGCGACGACGGTGGTTTATGGATTTTCGAGGGTTTCATAACATTTGAATCATCGTCATCGACTGATTTTCTCGTTTTGCAGATAACACAAACGCTCTGACAAATATAGTGTAACTGTATCAAACCGTTAACTAAAGAAGAAGAAGAAAAAAAAGAATGCACGGATTATAAAACAGGACGGTTTATTTAATTTTGAAGTCTTTACCTCAGACAGTTATTGTAAAATTTGTTGTAACTTGAAAGTGTAATAAGCACGCCTCCTCCTAGGCCCAAGGAAAAGAAAACTTGGATACCAGCATCTAACCAGACCTATAAACACACAAATGAACTTTAGAAATATATAGTTATATAATGTATCAAACTGCATTGCACATATGTTTTCATTCATGTAGAGTTTGTCAGAGATATAATGGACCTTGAGTGTTGGAGATTAAATGGGGGTGATTAAAACTTCAAATGAATAGGTAAAATAAATTGAAGAAAATAAAAAGAAGACACGCTGTCATATTAGTTGAACAAGGGAAATACCAACATTTAAACATACCCACGACTCAAATTCAATAAAATTAGGCCTAAATATGAACAAAAGAAAGATTTACATAGAAACGTCTGAACAACTACGTGAGAATAAGATGAGGTGTTCCAGAAGAGTAAGTGTCTTCTGTTTCAGCCACGACGCCTGCGATGTAAACCTTGGTCAATAAAAATAAGTCACAATGTAAATAACTATGGAACGAACAGGTAAAATATCAAACATCAAACACGTCCAGCTTCATAATCTACAAAGAAACAGAACATTTCTCAATAAGGTCAATATGACGACCGTTGTTTTAATCAACCTGAATCTTTTGATACCAAACCCCGTGTCAGAACTTTGTCCATAAGTTGACGACTTCTTCCACGATGGTTATAATGACATAACGTCATATCAGTTCTTTGAATAAAAAAATCAATTACGACACGTAAGCACCATAGGATGAAGACTACAAACAAGAAATGGAAAATTCACAATAGGGAAATGGAAATCATCATGCCTACGGAAAGCTGTCAGTGTTGGTTTCGTTGTAGAAAAATATCGATAGAAACGACTGATGTAGAAGAATCGTTCGTGGTTTCCAATTTTGGTGGGTGTATTCTATGGACGTGGTCAATAAATATCTCACTATTTAAAAACAAGACGCCATCAATATATCTGAAAGTGAATTAAACGACTTTGTAAGGTGTTTGTGATCCGTTTTGATAAGTTCTTTAATAAATCCAGCCTGGTCTGAAAACAACACAAATCAGCCAATAAACAGGCACAGTTAGTTCCTATCGGTATGTCAATATCGCAAAACCAGACGAAGATACTGTTAACCTAATAGTCGATCATTTTTTATGCTTTCGTCAAACACATATTTCTTCTTTGATTAGAACGTAATTTTTCGAGAAACACGCATCAACATAACCATATATATCTGTACCGCCGTTCACCTTTCTTGGAAAAGAAAGTTTTCATAACAAGTAAACGAAGATGTTTCGTTAGTTGAGAGTTGGATAATGTGGTGTACAGAGTGAAAAAATCAAATGATTTTATAGAAGAAATGCTGACGGTGTTGAAGATTGGACAAACGTAATTAATTCCACTTCATCAGTATGTAGTATCACAATACGACTGCAACCCATGTTTGATAGCGCTAAGAATGGTAGTCGGTAGTTTTAACAACGTTTTTGGTTGATCATTAACCAGCAATAAAACGTTGTTAATATGAATTCTTTTGAAGTTTTGAAATCCAATATCAACAGGGAAGGGCCGCATTCTTATCATAAATATGCAATGATTGTGATACTGAGTCATGATTAGCCGGTACTTCTCCTTCGGGAAGAGTGCATAATATATATGTGGGGTTCTCTGCGTTATTAAGAAATATTTCTTTCTTATTGTTTACAGAAAATGTACGAATGTCTGCAGACAAGGATCGGTTGACTGAACGCCTTATCTGCAGGCAAAATAACATACCTGTCATAATGACGTGTGGATGTGGATTTAACATCGGGTTCAAGGAACGCTGACCCCGATTAGCTTCCAATTTAGATTTTAAGCTGCAAATTCTTTTAAGAATGATGGATCAAGCGGACTTTATTCACCCAGAAAATAAATCGAACGCAGTACGTTCTCGTTTCGCCCATTCTCTGGCATAGTTTTCAGGGGAATCAAGAAGTATCTTGAAATTTATTTTCCAATTAACTGACGGGGCTTCACGAAATTTTGGTCCTTTCATGAAAAGCTCTTGTAGCTTAACATTTCGAATAACGCTTAAATTACCAGTTACTATGTGTCCAGCTGAATCATCGTTATAAGAAGAGGTAGAACAAGAACAAGCTGATGGAGTAGTTCTTAGATCATCTACTTTTACTTGTTGCAGCGTTTATTTGAAGATGAGAAGTTTGGATTCAATGGGCTAGAAGTAATTGTAGGAAATTACAGGTGTATTTCTGCTTTGAAAGTATGGTAGAATGTTAGCTTTAGCAAACATTGGGTGTAAAATATTGCTAATGTTAATAACATCATCTCTCGTATTTGCAAATTCAATTTAAAGAAATTGTTGTTGGAGGACCATGCTATCAGTATGGGCATGTTTACAAAGCTTGATTAGTGCCATATCATCAATGATATTCCTGTTGTAAACAGCGTGCTAACTGATACATATCATCTACTTCTACCATGCTAACCATAGCGTACCTGGATATTTGTTAGAGAATTGAAGTCAGGTCTTATGAAAAACACAATTCCGTCAAACGAACCTGGTAACGTGAGAGAGTGAACGAGTAGGATGGTCAGAAGTAGATACGGAACTGTAGCTGTCACATACACAACCTGTAACATAAATATGTTGTAGTGAGGATTACACTATTTTGTTTCCACACAATACAAAATAGCTTTTCTAGTTTTTTTCAAAGGCATTAATAGCTATAAAGTATACATCTGCTACCTACAACTTCTTATGTCATTTATTGTTAAATCATAAAATGATACTGATCCCGACCACCGTTATATCAATATGTTACCTTTCCAGATGTCCGGATACCTTTACTGACACAGAGACATACCAGAGCCCAGGACACAGCCATGCATACTACTACGTTTCCGTTTATAGAGCCTATGTTATCCAGTCCTGATGATATGTCCAGTATTTTGTACCTGGAATACAGGCAGTTATATATTTATTTATCATTGATACTTTTACAATTTGTCATACAAATTTCAAACACTTATCATTATTACCGAAAAGAACACCATTGTCCTTTGAAAGTTTAACTTTGTCTTGTAAACAAAATAAACAAAAAGTATTATTGTTGTTACATGACTAGACTATATCACTACAAATCTTTCTGCTTTTTGTAATGAATCACACCTTGAAAACTTTTTGTCACATAGCATTAAGAATATGAAAGGTTAATGGACAAATAAAATATTAAAGATCTTGATGATCAGAACAAGGACATGTTTTATAACTTTAATGTGGCCATTTTCATCTAAAATATCAATTCTAATTCACTAGATTCCAGGTTTCAGTAGCATTGCGGTCCAATAAAATTACGTTCAAATACCAAATGAATTTTTTATTGTATGAGGTTTCCGTGTTCGTTCGTTTTTTTTAACTTACTGCCAAAATTCCTCTTCTGCGCTGTGACCGTACCTGGGGTGAATATTAGAGGTATTTATCGTGCTTGTAGCGCTTCCATTGTCATAAGGCAACAGATACTGGTTGGTAACGTTTATACTTAACATGTCATGATGTATGGCACTGATGTTACTTATGCTGTGAGAAGCATTAATAAATCGGAAGCCAGACTTGTTATTAGTGCTGTTTTTATGTATGTTGAAATCTTTTGTAAAATTTGTCGACACCATTTCCATTGTGCTGAAACAATAAGGAGTGTTCCATTCGTTGTCACACGTACTCCATGGCAACGGGTTGTAGAAACTATAGTACAGATAGTAGAGTGTCCAGGCAAACAACATGACATAATAGCATGTGAAAAATACCAATACCGTTTGAAACCCAATGCCAAGTCCTGAAACAGAGACGGAATACAAAAGTTAGGAAAGCATACGATGTCCGTATCCAGATACGAAATATTTGTTGGAAATGTTGAATTTCGGTATGAAGGCACCTTTGCAATTAAATTTCTTTTGGCTTCATGCAACAGGAACCAGGGGTTATTATGCAATATGGCACTTCTTTGATACAAGCCTTTATGATATTGGATATTTGTTTTCATAAATCCTTCGAATTTCGTTTCGTCTGACTTTGTATGCGAAGCTTATTATTATATCATCCGTTCCTCTTTACTATAACAAATTGGTTGTATATTTAACTATAAAAGTATGTCGGTAAGTTATTAGATAAGGATTGGCTTTCGGGTCTAAGATGACGTAAACCATATTAACATTACACAATATGGGATTTTCACATTGGTACAGAACAGGTTTCAAATGGATCAAAACATAATTTACCTAAGTGATTACGTTTTCTGATCATAGCACATATCTTCTGTTTTTTAAGCGATACTTATCAGATAACTGTATACTTATAACAACCTAAACATATGGCATACAAATGAAAATGATTAAAACTTCATAACCCATATCTGAAAACGACGAAAAGGTCTCCTCGTCAATAATATGAAGTAGACCAACCAAATCGTCGAAATAAAACATTTATCATTACATTAAGACAAACTTTAATTAAATCCATGGAACGAACGCAAACAGGAACTACCTATGGAATGATATGATGAACGTTAACGAACTGCAAGTGCCCTAATCCATTAATTTCTTTAGAAACATAATCATTACCTTGAACTACAGGACAGTAGCTCCAAACATCTTTGAAGGATCTTCCGGTGAACTGTCCAAGAGATAATTCCAGGAAATACAACGGGATTCCCATGAAGAATAGAGCAAAGATGTATGGTATCAGAAAGGCACCTGGAATATAATGTTTCTGGAGAGGTCAATTAAACATTTCTACATGTGTCAAAAGTCACAATGTATAATGTGCTTTATTCTTAAAATAAAAATGAAAGCCGATTATAGTAACCAGTATCACATGTTTTACCTGCATGAACACATATTTGCATTCAGAATATATATACCTAAGTACATAAGATTATCGCTGTTGACTTATAATTTCCAGTTGTATTAATATGTTATCTTTATGTCTTGTTTTTATAGGGTAGAAACAAACTATATAATGAAGTGGTAAAATTGATACAAGTATTGTTTTATACTGTGTTGGGTAAGACAGATTTTATGTTATCTTATTAAATCTTTTTGTGTAACTATAAGTATCGCTATTTTGGAATTTAACCGAAAATACTATGTTGATGACAATTAATGTACTAAGCAATAATCATCTTCAATGATTTTAATAGTTAATAAGTTTTTAGCTGTGTAATTATTTATCTATTTATATATCTTTATTCCTTTAACGTCTTAACTTGGCAGTGTGTAAGTTTATGACAAACTATGAACAATTTTAGACCGCGCAAAACAGTTCCTAGTCAAAGTCAAAATTACATGCAATGCATTTTTTATCATGGAAGATTTTGAATTATATTATTGATAGGCTGAATTAGATTTGTTGTGTTCCTTATTATTTGAAAAAAAAAGTTACAAAATGGTAAAAATCTTGCCTCCGCCATTTTTCATACACACGTAAGGAAACCTCCAAATATTTCCAAACCCTACAATCATTCCAAGAACTGAGAGCAGAAACTGCAGTTTACTGTTCCATTTTGTTCTGTTCGGAAAACTGCCATGGTGTTCTGCTGCAGTTAGTGATGTTTGATCCATGTCCGTGTCGTCGCAACACGCGGTTTCATCCACTTGATACAAGATATTGATTCTATGTGCTTTTATACCTTTCTCTCTTTATCTTGCGGGGAACAATATTACAAGCAAATGATCCTACATTTCCATATAAAATATCTTAATGACTTGTAATACAACACGTCGTTATTTGTCCTCTTAAAACGCGTGTTACAATAAAAATGTGACTTTTTCCTAATTATTGGCTTTAATATCGCGTAGTTTCGTATTCCATAAACTTATAATAAAATTACCATGATAATATTGAATATATTGATTTGTGTCTTTTATATGAGGTATGTCATTTTCATACGATATAATCCACCCCAGGAACATTCTACCAATTATATTTTGACAAAGATGGTGCCAAACTTAGATTTAAGGACTATAGCAATGATGACGAGTTCGTTCTAGAAGACCTAAAAATGAATGCAGCAGTTCCTATTTAATTTCTAGTTCAGTTATGCTGTATCTTTTCTTATCTTATTTGGTCTGATCTTATCTTACAGTATCTTATCTAAGAGATATGGCATTTAGCTTAAATTGAACAGAAAGTCATAACTAATGGTGACACGACACCCGTGTATCTGAAGTAATTGTATCTAAATCTGTTAAAACTACAGCACGTCCTCACGTTGGTGTGTTTGACATGAGCCCTCAGCTCGTCAAGGTCGGTGTCCGAGTCACAGACGATGTTAGAAATTTCTAATACCTTTGCAATATATACTGATAACGAAATTGTCTACATTTTAATTCGATATTTAAGATGGAATGCATAAGCTCTTAACAGTGCTGATCCGATTTGTTTTTTTCTGTTTTTTATGACGAGCGCAAACTTATACTTATATTTAGAAAAGGATTTACATTTTATCTGATCATACTTGTTTAGTTTCTACTATCGGAATGTTGCTAAATTTGTAGGATATATTATTTCAAGTTGGGGTACCTCCATATTTCAGTGCATATTGCTGAAAGAATGCACAATACACAAACAAGCAAATAGCATCATTTAAAGAAATTAAGATAAGGGAATAATGGAGTCAAACAATAAATTAATCTGCATCATATAGCCTCCTTGGACTCGTTATCAATGCTTAGACACTTATTATTAAATCCAAAATGATCGAAAGAAATGTCAAAATCTAGATGAGGATATGAACTTGGCCATTAGATGAGCAACTTTCGTCATTTTAGAGAAAAAAAATCATTTAAATGTGTGTTTTCTAACCCGTGCAACTATTTGAGTGAACTACAACGTGGCATCCAAGTTACGGCAGACCTCGAAGACTAATAGTTCACCAGCAATGTATATCACCTCGAATCTCTACGATTGCTTGATAACGAAAGGAAAAACACTATAATTATTGTTCCAACGGTACTACTATCATATAGACTGCCTGTTAATGATAAGGATACGGATCTCTCCCCTTTATATCTGGTTCAAAACTTCCCAGGAATTCATATTAACAAACGTTTTATTCCTGGCTCGTCCAGCTATTTAACCAGACAGTTGTCAAAACTACTAGCTACCATTATTGTGATACTTTTTACACAAGAAATGGAATAAATAGACTCAAAGAGCTTTCGACTTGTCTTCAACATTCTATTCTAGTAAACATTTTTTCTTTAAGAACATATGTTTTCGCCAGTCTGAACGTAACCTTACCCCATTCTTTACTGAAAAAAACACAGCCTCCGTTCTCTATTATGGGTACTTTCTTTTTCATGAAATGTGAACGGCGGTACAAATATATGGATGTAATCTATACTGAAGTGTATTTCGTGGAAACATGTCCAAATCAAACAAGAAATATACGGAGGACGAAATCAAACAATAGTGGGCAACTCTCTCTATCTCTCTCAAAAATTATTTACTCTCTTTGTCAAAAAGTATAAAAAAAAAAATCCATTATCTTTCGTATTTTTTTACGTTCAAATGTAAAGTACGTGGACCGCATCAAGTTATGCAATAGCACACCATCTGTCGACTGTTAATAATATGTATGCAGTTTATCAGTATTGTTCGTTTATTACCATCTAAGTCTCACTTCTCAATATTTGATGCCATTTCTGGCCCGTGTTATTAAAAGAAGCATGTCTACGTGTCTAACATGTGATTTGATAGCACAAGGAATGGTGATAAGAAGCTTTTATTAGGTTTGATAAAAAATATAGTAAAAGACATACGCATTATCATATAGAATAGAAAAAAATCACATCACAAAGTACCTGTAGATTTATAAAATGCAGACTTAAACTATCATGATTGATCAGTAGTTTATTATTTAGACCAAGACTTTGCCGAAATCCATTGGTTGTAAGATCTTGTTTATTTCATTGGCGTTGATTTTGGTATCGCTGAAAAATCCTATTTGGACGAAACAGTTTGATAATGCAGTTTTATTCTTTACTTATATTCTATCTAAATTCGTAGTGAAAGGTGCTTTTAACTTTTTCTTACTAATGTTGAACCGCATTATCCAAAAATTTAGTTTTTTTTAAACATATTAATTAATTGAAATTAATTAGGTTACATTTGCCTCTAACAGGTAAGTGTTTACCTAGGTGACCCAGAACATACATGTATGTCAGATAAGGTGAACCAAATGGATCTTGTACTGATATAGACCTTTAATCTTATGGAACTATCAAAACAAAATTGAATCATTTGTATCTGTTGGTGTATGAAACTACATCAGGGAAGATGTTCTGGTCTGATAGACACAGTCTAAATGACTGAACGCTTTAAAAGTTAATGATGATCAGATGTTATGCATCAAATGTATAATTGTTTAATGTAGTTATCATGTAATTGTATAATAATTTTCATTTATCCCTTCTCTATCCCATTGACTAGATCTGGCTATTGTCATAATTTTGAGAATCATTTAAATGTTTGTAATGCTATGATTTTTGTTTAAAAGACCATACTAATAAATAAGATAAAAATCGTGTATATATATATATATATATATATATATATATATGAAAATTGATTTAGAGTAATCACATTTTTCTTGATAAAGAAATTGAGTGTATGCAAATATGTTAAGTAATTGTTTTCAGAAAATAAGCCAAAGTGAAAAAAAAGTTTGTAGTTGTCATGCCCATGTATGTTATTAGAGCTAGATTCAACAGGTGCTTGAAATAGGAGTTAATCCATCTCATATCATCTATGCCAATCCGTGCAAACAAATCTCATATCGACCTACGCCAAACAGCACCATTTTGACCTGATGGCTTTTGAAAGTGAGGAAGAATTGATCAAGATCAAGATGTTGTATGGATCAGCGAAGTGAGTTTTTGTATAATTCCTTTGGTAATAATATAATAACAAATGTAGATAAGAAACATTGGATCACTGCTCTTTCACTTTGCCTTGTGTACTTTAGAATGCTACCTCTTCGACATAAACTGACCTAATTATACCAGTCCACGTGTACACAGTCTTAAATAATCAGGGAATAATAGAGTTTGAAAAAGGACATCCCTACTCAACTTATTCAATACAAGGCTATCAGCCAGCTGGTAATTTAGATGTTGAGTTGATTATGAATCGACCTTATTCACCTGATCTCACTCCATCAGACTTTCATATGTTTCAAAAAATGAAAAATGTCTTTTCTGGTACCCACTTTCTGTCCGAGGATGACGTCACAGAAAGAAATATACAGTTTGTTCAAGAATGGTTACTGAGTGAAAAACTATCCACTGGTAAGATTGGTAAAAATGGATAAAATCCTCATAAATCATTTTGAAATTCCAAATTCGTATAAATTTTAGATGATTTCTACAGTAACAATAGCTGAAAACAACAAATACATATAATTACAATTGTATGCGGCATGTCTTCAAAATATGAAATGCGGTAATTTATGAGCTTAATGAAAGGTTTTAAAATTAATTTTCCAAGAATGAAGTAGAATATTCTTGTTGCATTTTGAGAGACTAACAATTTTAGAAAAATTATATCGATTAACTACATAGTGTTATACATCGTTCGAATACATCCGATCGGATCTAATGTTAAATCAGCATTCCATCATTTAGGATTTATTAACTTTATGTTGAATTAAGTTTTGCATGTCCGTGTTATACACATTCATGGATTACAACATAAACTTTTGTCCATTACTACTGTATACTTCATTTATGCAATATAATGTCAATAGTTATCATTGTCTCAATTCATAGCCTTTCTTAATTGATCGACATTTTGCGACTGTTCAAATTCATTGTTATTGAGAAATCTGCAAATGTCACTTTAAATACTGCAATATATATTCTTGAACATTCTCTGTTTTGAGAGTGGGTTCTCCGAGTATATGTTTGCTGGATAAACCTATTCCCATGCCACTGAATTCTAACCAATTATGTAGTCTTGTTTTATACCGTCCATTTTATTGTACATTTGCGTACATAGAATGTAGAGATATTTCATTCCTGAGGTGAATACTAATTACGAAATTAGATTGTTATATCATTTAATTTATCTATATTAATTCTGATGGCCGATTACATTGATTTACTCGTTCCTAGTATGTTTTTTTCCGTAATATTCTCTTCACACACCCATTCTAATATATATATTCTAAAATACTAAATTAAGAGGAGAGGTGTGTTATGTAAATATGTGTGATTGGGTGTGTGTCGATGATACCAATGTGTCATGGAAGGCAACTGTAAATGAAACCTCTACATTTTGGAATCAACAATTATCATCTATATAGCCGCTTTATTTAGAGAGAAGAAAAATGTAAAACTATGTTTCTTTCAACACCATATCGGGAACTACAACGTATCAAACCAAACACTCTGAGAGCGTTTTATAGAGCATATTCATCTGACGAATCATCAGACAAATGATCTGTTGACTAAAACATTTTCTGTTGTGCTTGTAATCTGGTACTTACTATGTAACATTCCACGAAACATTCTTTTAAAATTGCGCTTTTTTAAAGTTCATTTTTCACATATATGAGATT